ATACTGAATTATTTATCTGTTAATAAATTAAACATTTTTAATTAATATTATCTTATTTATTATCTATCAAATTTACCATTTCAAACATAAAATATGATAAAATTATTAAAAAGTTAAGAAAATATTATATATATATATATAATAAAATAAACGGTTCCAAATCTAAAACGATTCAAGACAGGCAAAAAATAGAACCGACCCAATTATTAATTAGGACAAAATGATAGAACTAAAACCATTATAATTAGTTTGATCAGTTGAAGTATGTCTGATAGACCCAACCCATTGACAGCCCTACTTGCAATTCCCACATAGCAGGCCATTTCGGAGACTAAATGATATTATACCAACCCTAGCAAGGTTCATAATATCAACACACACTGATACATCAAATGGGATGTACAGTGTACCAATAGAATCTGATCTTGCTTGGTGATGGGAACAAAAAAAAAAAAAGGCTCAAATGGCTTTTCCACCACTGATTGCTTTAGCTTCGATGCTTAAAAATAAAGAGACCATTGTTTGAAATACCGGGTCTGATCAAATGCGCTTTTCTTTTTTCCTTCTTTTTTTCCCTTTAACGATTGGGTCAGGAAAACTTTTTAAGTTGCCACAAAAAGAAAAACAGAAAATCCCTTGACTCCTTTCCTTTTTATTACTTTCATATTAAAAGATCATGAAATTACGATGTTTGTATTTTATGAAAATTTATTCATTTACTTTTGAAGAAATTTTGATAGCCATTTTCAAGAGTATTCATGGATCGCAAGGCAACGTCAATAGCAAATTAACAAGTAACAACCATCAGCAATGCAATCAAGTGCCCATAATCCAGAGTTCATTTCGGCTACGACAAAGTTGCAGCACTTCCTTGCGACCCCCAATGTAACAAAATAAAACTTCTAAATTCAAGCTCTTTTCTATTTTTAGGTCGCTGATATGTCTGTGTTTCACTGGGGTCTGGGGAGTCGCAAGAGCTCGAGTGCTGTGACCACAGTCGCAGCAGATGCGTTTTCATTTCCGAAAAGCAGAGACAAGAGACAGACTCCATACCAATTACCAAACATCATTATACGATATTTCTTAATTTTCATGAGCCATTCGGTTCATCTAAGAGATTTATCACCTGCTCTTAGAATCATATGATAGATTCCTTATAAAATTTGTTTTTTTAATAGCCCCAAAATTTATCAAGGGGACTTATTGATGTCGCAAAATTATGCATAAATAATCATGAAAAAAATAAAATAAATATTTATTATTCTTTGAGGTAAATTTACTTGGACCTATAGGCCTTGGTATTTATTTTCATTCATCCAAGATTTGGGCATGTGCAAGTGGCCAAATCCCACTATCTAGGTGGAATCTGCATGCAGCAATGGCAATATTATAACAATTCTAACTTGGCTCTGGGTTAATCATCCAAACACTCCTTTTAGCAATGTTTTCAATCCGGTTGAATTGTCTGAACTGTTATTCGACCATTATTTTGGATTTGGTTTTTTTTTTTAAATCTGATGATTGGTTAAAAATTTGTTATATGGTCAAAATATTTGACTTGGTTGGTTGAACTATTAACCCATACGGTCAAGTAACCAGGCCATAGGTTGCACACTAAAAGTGAATACAAACTTTCAAAGGCCATAATTTTGTGCTCAGATGTCCAGTTGTTTTTTTTTTTTTTTCTTTTTGTTAACTTTTCAATCGTGGAAAAAAAAACCTTTTTTGGGTCCTTAAATCGTGATTCTTAATATTTTTTTACAAATAAAAGTTTTAAAATATAAATTAAATATACATATAGAATCTAATTATACATTATAATACATATATTACTTGTAGAATACAATTTTATTTATTTAATAAAATATATATTTATTCATATACATGCATACATACATATATAGAATGATAACGTGGCACAATCTGACCCATTTGACCTATATGAACAAACCAGTGACCCACGACCCAGAAACAATATCAGCGGGCCGATTTTTAATTACATTCTCTTCAAGCTAAGGGTACCCAATATAGGTATTTTTGGGTTGAGTGGGTACCAGAGATGTCTTGTTGTAAGTTTGCCTCCTTAGCCGCCTCATCTCTTAGATTCTCTGAGTATGACACAGAAGGCCCATCATCTTTGGCAGAAAGTTTTATCTAAGTGAGTTCTTTAGAACCCTTAGGCTGTATGAACAATGATTCCCGTCTTTTAACCATGTGGAAGGTTGACATGAAGATATGGTCCTCATCACATCTGCACTTCACCAGGCTTTATTTGGGCTTTCTTGGATTGATTTATTGGGCTGAAATTTGCCGCATGTGAAGAGGTGACGTAGCTTGAAACCTTTTCCGGCATCTACCTAACTTGACGTGTGTATAAGAACTCTGGCCCATCTTAAATCCTTTATTAATACCTGTTTATTGAATGGATACAATTGAGAATCAGTCGACCATGCATTCAACTCAAACTCAACTCACTCTCAAATTGATAATATATTAGGCTGGATTAGAGAAATTGCATGTATACATACATAAACATAACCTCTTTCAATAAAGAAACCCATGAGTTGACAAAATAATCCAAGAATAATTTGTTTTTCTTTACAAAATAATCCGGAATAATTTGTTTATATTTTATTTTCTTTGCGGAAATGAAAACTAAAAAGCCAATAATATGGATATTATTGAATAATGAAAGCGTACATAAGAAGGGTAAGAATACGTCCCATAATCAGGGGCTCATGGCTTTTAAGAAATATATGTCAAGATTCAAACTCATAACCTCTTTTCCATGCATATTGTCTTGTTACTATTAATCCATGGTTTCTATAAAACATCATCATCATTATTATTAATTACTATTGTGCGCTATGCAAAAACATAGGCTTCTGTTCTTCTGTTGAACAGTTTTACGGGAAGCTTCATAAAATTGTATACATAAATGCATTGCCTGTGATCTGTGAAGATAAGATAGAGTTGGAAAATGTGGCAACAGATTATATTCTCTTGATTCAGAAACCATATAAAATACAGTAAAAAAAAAAGCCTAAAGCTTAATTTAGTTGATTTCTTTTAGAGAAACCAATGCTTTAGGAAGCGTTTAATTTATGAAAAGATCTATGATGCTGGAAAAACATGATACCGGCCGAACAAATTTTGACCAGTCAAAACCTATCATGAATTTTGATGAAAACCCATTTGATTGGTTACATTATTATAAAGTCGATTGATTAGTTATAATATTTTTCCGGTATCATAGTCGAACCCTTTATTTATTGTATATTTATTTGCATGCATATCAACAAAATGCTTATTCCAATTGCACAAAAGCTTGAACCCGTGATGGACGTCCAAAGTGAACCCAAGTGAAATTGCACAAAGTAGAGACTAGAGATACAGACATAAATCCATACTTTCCCATTCCTACAACATTTCTGTGTTTAATCAATTCTTTCCTTATCACATCCCATATCCTCCGGTTGCAAAGGCAAAGTGCAAATTTCATTTGCCTTGGTGGAAATGTATAGGAGTGCGAATGAAATGAGTGTAAATTATAGTATACTTTTGGCTCAGTTTAGAATGAGTATAAATACAAATACCTAGAGTGCAAAACCTTGTTTGTATATATTTGATTTTTACTCTTTCAAAACTGAACCTTATTTAAAAATTAACTGTGCCTCATTTGTGAACTAAGTAAAATGATGCAGTACCCACTTTATAAGAAAGAGGGTGGAGATGGAAGGGTTATATTTGTTTGGGAATAAATTAAAATAGGAAGAAAGATAATGAGGTTCCAACTTTTATATAAGAAATTAAAGTTGGGGCGGGAAGAAGATAATGCAAACTTTGTATCAATTTTTTAAGCTGCAAAGTTTGTGCCGACAAGTGCCAATAACTGCAAATCATGAGGCAAAAAGTACAAACTTTGCATGAAACCCAAATATAACAAAAACAAATGAACACAAAACTGAGCGAGGTGCAAAATTTATATCCAATTCAGATTTATCCTACAAACAAATGGAAATTTACATCTAAGAGATACAACCATGTGATTTCTGGAGAGATAAAATGAACTGTAGTTAGAGATCATTGTTTTTTCCCCGTTTTGAAGATGGAATTTTTCAAATTAAAATGATGTACCCCCAGCCCCAATTTCCATCAGGACCATCACATAAGGCCATTGACTGCAAAAGTCAAAAGCCGATTATAATTTATAAGGTTGAGGTTTTTACTTGAAATTTGACCAACCATGTATATCTTGATTCTTCATCGCCACAATGGAGTTGATGGGTGATGAGTCCCGTCAGTACAAAGTTCTCCTCATGGTGGGTGTGGGCGCGTCGTGCGTGTACAACAACATCCCATTCGGCCATTCCATTTCCCACCCCCGCCCAGCAACATTAACCAGCACAACGCTCCCACCGCACGTATGGCCTTGAGAATGATTGAATGAGAAAGAGAGAGACTAGTACTAGTAGTCATCATAGACAGTGGGAGCTGATGGAGTGATTGATAAGATCGGAATTCCATTATTATTATTATTATTATTATTATTTATTTATTTATTTATTTATTTCTGTTCATATCGCATATTGCCTTTATTTGATGTATTCGTTTGAAATCGAATTCAGTCAGTGCAACTCACGTTCGAACAATGTTTATAGCCTTGCATCGGGAATATCTCCACATTCGAACAGTCTTTATATATATTGCCTATCTCTGTTGATGTTGGTTGAGAGTGGATTTGAAATGAATGGGAGGAGGCACGTGGAGGAAGCTGGAGAGCACCACTCATTCATCACGTTCACGTCACGTTATAATAATGTACTACATTAAAATACATTGCACAAACCACCTGTCCGGATTTCATTTCATATAAATAAATAACTTCTTATTAAGGAAATGTTTGGCTTATGTCTCTCTCTCTCACAATGCTTTGGCTTTTCAACGGCCGAAGCCTGAACGGTTTAGTTTAGGACTTGCAACAATTCTATAGTTGATAGTTGAAACCGCAATGCAAAAGCTGAAACTCTTGTTTCCTCACTTAAAAAGCAGTCAGAAAATCTCAATTAAAAGTATTTAATAGAAGAACTCTTTCTCTCTCTATCCCTTTCTCTGCTCACTACTCAGACTCTAACATTGCAAATAAATCAATGAAAAGAAATACACTAACAAGAAAAGAAACTGCCTGATCCGAATCCGTTACATGACTACAAAACTACAAAGCCTACAGGTCCTATTCCTATCATTCTATGCTACACTGCACACACTATCACTGCGGAATATACACTCGAACCGCAACGGCTCGACCGGGTTGGGTTGAAGTCTCTTCTCCCGTTTCCTATTTCCTATCTATGTTTTAGAAGCTCTGCACCGCCGGAGCCAATCCGGACTCTGGCTCACTCATCATCATCATCATCATCTCTTTCTTCCGTCGCATCTCCAATACTTTGCGGTGGTTGTTAGAGTGAACGTCGTTCGAGAACGTCGGGCTACAAGCCGGCCGATACTCCGGTAGGAGCCGACCGGACTTGTAGCGAACCCCACAAGCGTTACACAGGGTCTTGGCCCCCAGAGGACCGGTTCTCCACTGTGGGGTCTTCTGAACATGACAATGGCTGCACCTGCGGGGCGGTTGGGCCCCACCCGTCTCCGTCCCCGGCTTCTTTTGCTTCTTCGCCGGCGGGTTTCCGCCAGTATAGCACAACCGTTCCAGGTTATGGCCGCTGTTCAGGAAGGTAAAACAGGACGTTGAAGAAGACGACGTGGAAGAGCAAGACGACGACGACGTCGAAGAGGATTCCGGAAGCCTAGGCGACGCGAGAGACCACACTCTCCCGCCGGTTCTCGCACGCTTGCTTCTCGCCTTGCCTGGTATAGGCGTCAGGAAAACCGGGACTTTCACCGTTGTCGTTCCAGGCTCCGTTTCATACCGGTTCAAGGACTCACCTTGGGGTTTCACTGTTGGGTTTCCCGCTGGGTAAGGTTGCGAGAATTCTGAGAAAGAATCCTCCACGAAATGAGATAACCATTCAAGGTTCGCTAAATCATCCGCCTGTTATGCGCGTTTCTTCAAATCAGAATTTTTATCCGAAAAAAAAAAAAGGAAAATGAGGGAAAAAACAGTTTTTTATTCTTTCAAAGGAGAAACGCCATACCGGAACGCTGAGTTCGCTGCCGGGAACAGACCCAAAATCATCTTTTTCGGAAAAAGCGCTAGAGTTGGAGTTATCGTTCTCCGCTTGTTCCTGAGAAGAAACAGACGCATAGTCCTTCTCTTCTAATTGTCCTTCAAAAATACCCTCTTCCAAATCTCCATTAGAGAAGTCAAAAAAGCCGTCCACGAAAAAATCGTCCCCAGCCAAGCCATTTGAGCCATTAACAAAACAATCATCATCACAAGACACTTGTTGGCTCGGTTTCAAACCCATCTCCGGCCACAAACTGGTTTTCAAGGCTCTTGCTTCTACACACTCCATTCCTGATTTTCCCTATAATAAATATGTAAATAAACCAGGAAAAAAAGTTCAGTTCAACGTTCATACCCTGAAACAGTTTCCAAAAGAATTTAGATAATTTTATTTCTCGATTCATTTAAAATACCTGAGGAGACGACGGAGGCAAGGAGGAGATATGAGAGGGAGTAGAAATTACAGAGGAGCAGCAGGAGGCTGAGGAAGGGTTGAAAGGGAAGAAGAGGGGCAGAGGTTGGTACAGCATTGAATGAGGGATGAAAGCGTCCGTGGCGAAACAAGTGCCCCCCCGTTTCTGGTTTATCTTTTAACTATTTCTCCATCTACACTTGTTTTATATTTTTCCTCCTTTTTTCTAAAAGTTGTGAATTTTATTACTCTAACGACTAATAACGGGTGCAATAATAATACAGCCAGTATTTTTAATTTTTAAATGACGTAAATTGCAAATTTCAACTGTTTAAAGAGTCAAGATTGGTCAGTGGTCTCCAGTTCGAATCTCGGTGAATAGGGCTGGCATCTGGCCCGCCAGGTCGGACCCGGACCGCAATCAAAATCAAGGTTCTACAATAATAAATAAATAAAAAGGAAAAAGAATTTTGAATCTTCGTCCCAACCCCCACCTAAAGATAAAGAGCAACCAAAAACGGATTTCTCACGAAACCGCCACCCTCTGTTTTTATTTCGGTTCTTATTTTCGTTTTAAGAAACTGGCCCCCACTTTTTGACTAAACTACAAAAATACTACACCCACTCTTACCTGCTGGCTGCTGTTCCTTTTTTGCTTCCTATTGGCGATTGCCCACCAACACGGCGTGGATTGCCGCTCTTTCTGGCTGTCCTCCATTTCTTACCCGTTCATCTCTAAGACGTGGTTGCATGAGATGGACCCTACGTGACACCACTCCCCACAACCACCAGATTTTAAATATAGGAAGGGCCCACCTAGGACCCCATTCCAATCCGGTGGCTCTCAGCTGCGGTACCACTCGCTTAGAACACAAATCACTAATACATGATAATTCTTCACCTGAGGGCTGAGGCTGGGTTACACTGATTAGTTAGATCGCTCAATGATTAGGTTACTTTTTCTATCAACACCTTAATACGATAGTCCGTCCACAAGCGGGAAACCGTTACATACTTTGAAACGTGGTGCAAACGCTGATGAAGTACCTAAACTACCCTTCGTAATGAGCAAAGTAAGTTTCGAAGCAAACGAGAAAAAAGCAGGAGGCCAGCTTTTTTGTCGCCAAGTAGCGGAACCGAAATGATTCAAACGTTTTTGGATCGCTAGAGATTTGACACATGGATGGTTTCGGTTTCTTACAAGCAAAAATCCCCGAAAATCATTCAAATTACGTGATTTGCCACTTCCGGCGGCCTCGCTATAGACTACAGGTCCCAACACCAAGGCCCAAAGCCTCCCGTGCACGTGCATCTGCTTTTAGTCACGTGTTTTGGCCTTCTGGAGTTTTATCCGGGCAATTCGTAATATCCGTCCAAAATGGGGAGGGAGAGAGATCGGCTTCAGTCAGTGCAAAGGCCCGTTCGAACAGCCCTTTTCAGCCTTGCGTTGGGAATATCTTCGAACGGGCCCTGCACCGACTGAAGCCCAGTTCGGAGGGAGAATAGAGCATTCGCCATTTGGTCAGCGAGAAAAGAGAATCAACAGAGGGAAAAGAGGAGAAAGTTAGAAAATGAAAAGTAAAAAGTCCAAAACGCGTATGGGAAATGGGAAAGGGAAACGGACGATTTTACTCGGTAAAACATGACTCCAGGAGGAGGAGACCGCCGGCCCGAGTCGTTTTCGGCTGCCCCAATATTGTGTCTTTATTTCACTCCCTTTGCGTGTCTGGCCATTATTAGCGTCCGGATTTCATGCCAACCCGTAGGTTGCAGCTTGCAGGGATTTTTTCCTTTTGTTTTCAATTTTCAAATTATTATGGGATGCCATGAGAAGGTTCAGGCTAGCATTAATATTACTTTATTGCCCTCATATTACTTTATTGACATCGATGCCGTTGCTTAGAAAAATCGGTGTTCTAGAAAACCTTAACAAGTTTGGAACTGTTTTTCAAAAAAAAAAAAAGAATACCTCAAATTACATCTTAAAAATTGAAAAGGCGTAATTTAAGAAAACGTCGAATTCAACAATTTTTCAATTTGGAGTTCATTGATGTAAACGGGAACATAATGTGGCAGTGTCACGGCACAACAACATTTCCAAACAAAATAATGCTAAAAATAGATACGGAGAGTTGGTACCAAATAGAAGATATTGTTACTGGAAAACGGCCTACCTAACAACAATGTTTTCAAACAAAAACACAATGTCTCAGAAAGGAAACAGTAATGATATTGTATGCCAAACATGTGTAGATTTATTTGGTTACCACTTATGTTGATTTATTGATTGTAGGTTTTTCCGATATGATGTCTTTTCGGTATAATAATTGATGAACTTTTTTGATAGACCCAATATTTATGTTATTATAAGGGAAGAATAAATTAGAAAGGAATATTATTTATAAGAACAACACATCACAAGTGCCGAATCTTAGGAATCAATTTTTATTAAAATTGATGCATGGTTCCTGCTTGGAGCTACGTGGCCATGGCTATATTTAAGTAGACAGGGTGCAAGATCAAAAGAGATTGGATTTACAGATGGCAATGGCTGTTTATCAAGCTGTGTCTCATGTCAGATAATAGGATCCATGTCCACGCCAGTCATAAAATGTATAGAGCCTATATCATGTATGCAGTTATCACATTTAGATAATCCCATATAAAATGAAATGATTTCATGGAAAAAATAAAATGTATAGAGCCTATATCGACGTTGAAACAAAACATTTAGAAATGAGGTCTATGTGTTTTGTATTGGGATGATTTTTAGATTTTCTCTGAAGGCTGTTTTTTAAATTTTATCTTATTTTGTTTGATTGGAGTACAAATTAAATAAAATAAGATCTCGAATAAAATAAAATAAAACTAAACTAGAATTTACATTCATTTTTTTTGGGCTCCTATGCATTTGTACTAGTGCACTACAATCAAATGCAGCCTAAGGCTCAGTTTGGAAGGAGTATAAATACTTAATTTGGAAAAAATATAAATATAAATATATACAATATAAATACATACGAAATATAAAATTTTACACTCTACATATTTTCATTTTTACTCCTTCTTACGGCTCAATTTGACAGGAATAATATGTAAAGTACAAAACCTCATATTCTATATTATTTTGTTTGTATTTATATTATACCTTTTTCATTTGTACTCCTTTCAAACTTAGCCTTTACTGCAAATGATTGACTAATGGTGGAACCAAACTTATGTCTATATCACGAATGATTGATCCCTAAATCTCAGTTTGGAAAAAATACAAATATAAATATATACACTATAAATACATATAAAATAATATAAAATATAAAGTTTTGAACTCTATATATTTGTATTCATATTCCTTACAAACTGAGCTTAATGACCAGAACAAAGGCTTATATGTGATGACTCCGACAGTAATGGTGGTCTTGGGCTGGATTGGTAGGGTACATTGCATCAACTGGCCTTGGGATCGGGGCCCAAGTTGCAACCTTCTAGGCTAACATTAATTAAATGCCCCACTATTAAGTTGCTATGATTTTGGAAATTTGAATTGCCATATGCAAATGTCCAAACGGTGGGTTTGGTCATTATCTTTGGAAAGAGTGAAAATACAAATATCACTACAAAATCATGGTTTTGAAAATCAGATCGGATCAGATAGTTGGATTGGTTGATCCGGAAATCGGTTAAGTAATTCGTTCTGATTCACCCTAAAATCATTCTTGGGCCAAAAATAGTTGATTTAGAAAAACAACATTGTCCATATCTACTATTATTACCACCCTAAATCCCAACACTCAAAATAGGGTTGTAATCGTATTGGACTTAATCTGAAATTCAATCAGATGTGAAGACCTTGGATTGGATTTGGATTCGATTTAATCTGATTCTATTTTAATTTTTAAAATATCAGAAAAATTAAAAATATAATTATTTTTCAATTTTAAAATACAAAAACCTGCCGAAAAATTTTTTGACAATCATAAAAACTTTTTCTTTAGTTTCAATTTAATAAATATCTCCCCTTAACTTTAAAAAAAAAAATCAATAAGTACCTCCCTTCCGTCACTAATCCAAACAGAAAGCATTCGACAAGTATTTGAACGAGGTTCAGAGGTTGAATGGCCACATAGCCGCCCTGAGCCGCTTCATGTCCAAATCGGCGGACTGCTGTCTGCCGTTCTTTAAGGCAATCAAGAGCAAAGGTTCGAATGGACCCAAGACTGTTAGCTCGCGTTTGACGAGTTCAAGAAATACCTCGCTAGTGTGTCGATCTTAACCTGGCCCGAGGAGGGCGATATTTTAGAACTGTACCTCTCGGCAAGCGACGAAGTAGTCGATTCGGTACTAATAAAAGAAGTAGATCGGGTTCAGCGACCCATCTATTATGTTAGTAAAGTATTGCAGGGAGCAGAGACGAGATACCCAGATATAGAAAAACTAGCATTCGCACTGGTAATTGCAGCTCGGAAGCTCCGCCCGTACTTCCAAGTTCACACTGTTATCGTTCTCACCGACAAACCTCTGAAGCAAGTCTTACTTAAGCCTGAGGTCTCTGGTCGGTTGACGAAGTGGGCCATTGAGCTCAGCGAGTACGACCTCTAGTACAAGCCGCGAACTGCCATTAAGACCCAAGCCTTAGTAGATTTCATCGCCGAGTGAACATTCAGCTCCGAAGTCCCTAGGCCGGTTGAGCACGAGGCTCCCAATTCGGGTGAGCCTGAAGCTCCCAGGCTGGTCGAGTCCGAGCCCTGTGAGGTAGCAGCCAGTGTGGCATCTCTCCTAGTCCGGCCAAGCGCGAGCTGGGATGAGGAGCATTGTATCCTTCACGCCCTACGCTTCGAGTTCGCGGCATCTAACAATGAAGCGGAGTACGAGGCGTTGATAGCTGGACTAGCTCTAACCAGAGAAGTAAAAGCAAAGCACATTGTTATCTGCAGCGACTCCCAGCTCGTGGTCAACCWRGTCACYRGCGAGTACGAAGCTCGCGAGCCAACCATGATCGCCTACTTAGCCAAAGTCAGAGAGGCCCTGCTCAACTTCCAGTCACACTTTATCAGTCAAATCCCAAGGTC